GCGCTGGCACCTCATATATCATGACTATAATCCTAGCTACTGAAATCGGGAGGATCAAAGTTTGAGGCTGGCCCATCTCCAGCTTTTCAAGACCCCCATCTCCAAAATAACCAGAGCAAAATGGACTGGAGGTGTAGCTCAAGCAGTAGAGCACCTGGTTTGCAAGCATGAAGTGCTGGGTTTAAACCCCAGTCCTACCATAAAAAAAAGAGCAATATACCATTAAGTAGCACAGGTTCTTACAACATATGGATCAACTCTTCCAGTAAATAACTGAGGGCTAGTGGAGTGGTTCAAGCAGTAGATTGCCTGCCTAGCCAAGCGCGTGGCCCTGAGGTCAAGTCCTGGTATTGCCAAAAACAACAGCAATAAAACATAATCAAGAGCTTCATTTTTAGCTTTAAAGTGTTTTTCTATTTTTTCACTAACTTTTTTTTTTCCAGTACTGGGGCTTGAACTCAGGGCCTTTATCTTGAGCCACTCCACCAGCCCTTTTTTGTGATAGGTTTTTTTGAGATAGGGTCTCTTGAACTATTTGCAGAGAGCTGCCGTGGAATGCAATCCTATCTCTGCCTCCTGAGCAGCTAGGATTATAGGTGTGAGCCACTGACACCAGGCTTTTCACTACCTTTTACTTATTACTTTTAATATAGTACTTTAACAATCTATTGTTTTTCTTCTTCAGGTTGAGAGTGACGGTCATCTCAACATCGTACTCTTCTGTAAGACTTCCTCACTTACACCACTGTCCTTTTTCTCCAAAGCTTGGCTTCCTGTGCTGTGGATAAATATAAAGGCTTCGCTCTTTTCTTATCATCTTTACCCACAGGTGAATCTGCAGGCCTTTTTGAAGTTTCTTATAGTACCTTTGTACCACAGAGCAGAGCATTAGCAAAAACAAAACCTGTAGCCATTAATACACGTGGATCATGGCTCTGCTTGCACATGTTGTTTTATTATCCTTTGTGCACGATTGTGTGGGAGAATCTGGAAGTGCCACGGAAGGATGGCTCTGCAGAAGGGGACTGGGAGGGCTTTTTTCTTGCTCCCGGAAGTAAATTATGCATCATGTGCTGGCCTTTAGACTTCCACCTGTCACATAAGGTGAGGTAGAATTTTCCACTTGTGGTAGCATGTTGGTGTCAAGTTTCAGATTTTTTGGATTTGTGATGCTCAACCTGTAGGATGAATACGAGAGTCAGGCAAGGGAGAATAGAATAATGTAGACATTTACTGAAATCCAGGGGCAGGGAAAGCTTCCTGGAGGAGGAAACAAATATTCTGGAAGGTTGACTAGACATTACCTCAGTAAAGATGAAGGGGAGGAGGTTCCTTAGTAGAAACAGAACATTAAGTGATTAGCACAACAGCTTAATTTAGTGCTAACATAAACATAGATTCATAATTTTAAAAAATTCTTTATCTTTTTTATAGATTAATAATTTAAAGAGTTCTCAATGTAGGGCCATGATGAAATGCAACAAGTGATATTTAGTGACTTTAAATTTATTCAGTTAGTAGCTCACACCTGTAATTCTAATACACAGGAGCCTGACACAGGAGGATGGTACATTTTTGGCAAACTTTGGCTATGTAGAGAGACCCTGCTCAAAACTTCCTTCCCCCAATTTTTCTTTTTTAAATTTAAGTAAAACACCATGCCTTTTTTACTTTGGGGGTGTTAAAACATCACCGCTCCACTGCTACCACACTGCTAGCAGATGGTAATGAAATTTTTTAAAATCCTTAGCAAAATAAAGGGTTTTCAACTCTGTGTTGATTTCAAAATTTTACTAGGCAATGAAACACAAGTTCATTTTCCTACCTTATATAAACTTTTGTTTCTCTTTTTGGTTAAAACATGCACTAGTCAAAAAGTATATAGGAATCTCTGACTTATCAGTCAAGAATAAACTATTCTAGTAACGTGAACTAACAAAATGGAACATAAACCCTTTGAAATTTTAATTAACTGTCCAATAGTTACCTCCTATAGAAAGGGCCTCCTGAACAGTTCAGGACTGACATTTGTGAACCCAGGTTCACTTTTTAATTTGCTTTGGCAGAATTCCAAGATTTTAAGGCTTTGGAAATTTTCTAGATTTTGGAAATGCTTTTGATAAGAGCACTATCAATGTACCTGATAAGATAGTTAATATGTATCCTAATACTTTGTGTTGGTGGTTATCCCTTTTTGGTCTCCATAAACAATCTTTGCTTTTTTGTTTAGGAGATTATGCAGAGAGGCTAAGTAATTTGCCTAAGGACACAGAGCCCAGAAGCCCAGAGCTGGTCTGTAAATACTTGGGACAGCCCTGCAGTTCATCATGACAATAATAAAAAAGTGCCTGTATATTTCAAAAGCAATACCAGCATGTTTTCATGGATGGAAAGGACCTGAATAAACTTCTGATAAACGTTACTAAATATAGGTGTCCAGAATTGAAAACTACATATTAACATCGTGTACTACCTAAGACTTGCATTTAGGAGTAATATTTTTTCCATTTTCTTTCTGAGTGCCTCTTACACCCTCCACATAAAGATTATTTCTTATATCCATTTATATTTTAAAAGAATGATTTAGCAGGGTGGGGGTGGCTCACACCTGTAATCCTAGCTACCTGGAGGCTGAGATCAGGAGGACTGAAGTTTGAGGCCAGCCTGGGCAACAAAAGTGAGATACTATCCCCAAAATACCCAAACCACAAAAGGGCTGGAGTGGCTCAAGTGATAGAGTATCTGACTAGCATGGCTGAGGCCCTAAGTTCAAACTCCAGTACTATAAAAAAAAAAAAAAATTCAAGGATTCAAGGTTTGGCTCAAGCAGTAGAGTGCCTACCTAGTAACTGCTAGAGGCCCCTGTACTGAAATAGAAAAAAAAGATTTAAGGCAGGAAATGCAAATATACAATTCAAATTCTGGGGGAACCCCCTCCATTTTTGAACATTTGTTAAATTCTGTTCAACTGATTATTTTTGTTTTTTGAGACAGGGTCTTGAAACATAGCCCAGGCTGGACTTGAACTCATGTACCTACTGCCTCAGCCTCTGGAGTGTTGGGATTACAGGCATGTATCACCAACACAGAACCTGGCTTGTTGAACTGACCTTGTTCAGCTGATATTTCACTTTAAAAACTAGTGCAGAGAAGAACACGGGGTTGGGAGATGCCTGAGCTCAAATCCTAGCATTTTGCTAATGTCATTATTTCTGTTTTGAGGATGAGTCTGCTTACACTCAAAATTACTGGGAGTCAGATTGGAGTTCAGGCTTGGAAGAGATTTCACGAGACTCCTAACCTAGGCTCAAATCACTGGTAACATAAGGGAAGGATCAGAGCAGATAACTGGCTAAGGGTGTGTAGGGTTAGTTGGGTTACCAGAAGATTATTCTCAGGCTAGGGGTACAGTGGATGTTTCAAGTCCCCAGCGAAGTAATTATCATGTTTACCTTTTTTTTTCTTAGCACACTTGTATCTGAAGTTATAGAAGAAACTACCTTATTTACCATTATTTTCGATGCATTTATTCAAGACAAAGTATGTATTCCACATGTAACTACCTAACTACCGCATATTAAGATACCCTACATATTATTCTATAAATTCTTCTATGCATTTCCTTTAAACAACAAAAAAACCCCTTTTCTTCTGTTTTATAATAAGTCATAGTTTTGCTGCTTTTCTATCCCCTTTGGCTCAGGTATTTTGGGGAGGCAGGAGGGCGGGGCCTTATTACAATATCTAAGCCCTGCAGCTCAAGACCCTTTACTTCAGCGTCCTGAGTGCTGGGATTACACAAGTACACCACCACACCCAGTTGAATGTGTGTTTTAAAGAACTAAGCTCAGCATATTCACTTTCATCTGGTGGAGTTCAACTTCTGTCTCTTGTTTGCTTTCTCCATCTGCCTACTTGGACTTCATCTTCCCCCCCCTGCCCCCACCCCTTCCTCCATTAGGAGGTGGGGTTAACCTTGTTTTAGGCCTAATCGTTTTAGCAGGTTCACCCCTTTTTACCAAGCTGTTTCTAAACATTTTTCCAAGTGGAGTTTCAAGTAAAGTTAGTGTCTACATTTAATACTTTCAGCAAGCTTCCAGTCTGATCTGTTTTCATTCTTAAGAAAATAAGGCCTGGACATTATTTTAACTAGGAAGAAACCCTTTGGTTGTGTGTACACGTTTTAAAATGCGTATGCAGATTTTCCCTTTTCAAAGCTTTTTCCAGGATCCATGCCATATTTATCTTCAGTACCTGGTTTATTTGCACTGAGATAAGAGTAAGGTTTCAACACGTCTCTTTTTTGGATTCCTGCAGTTTCTGAAACATCAGCCACAAATGGCCCCACTAACCTACTTGCTTTGCGCTAACTTTTACTAAGACATCTCTCCACTCTTGCTCCGCGGCGACGGCAGCTCCGCGAGGAGACCCGGTGGCAGGACGCCTGGTGAGATCTGGCTCCCTCCACTTTCCCCGCACTCCGCCGCGCCGCGCCTCACCGCACTGCACGGTCCTCGGGCTCGCCGAGCATCCCGAGAGGGGACGGGACGTAAACACGGAGCACGCGTGGGGACAGGAGCCCATGCAGCCGGCGTGCGTGCAGACACAGCCCGAGCCAGGCGGACTCCGAGCGGCACGGTACTAACAAACCCTCCGGAGCGGCCAGGCCCGGGCAGCGCACTCCCGCAGACGGACGCGCGGGCGCGGGGCGAAGAAGGAGCCACCGCTGGGGGCGGAGCTTTCACACGCGCACCCTCGGTTCCCTTCTTCTCCCGACACAGCAACTCGGACTCCCGCTGCCACTCCGGGTTTATTTGTTTACAAGCAGATTACGTCAGCTCCTCCCTCTCGTCCCCGTGTCTGGACCCACCCCCCTAGATCCTTTTCCCGCCCCCTCCGGCTCCGAATCTGCTTGCGTCACAATGGTGCGATCTCCGGATTGGCTAGAATCGACCGTCACGCTCCACGTACGCCACTTCCTTTCTTCGGCGCTATAAAAAGTGCTGCACGGCGGCAGCATCTCTTCGCCCCTCGGAGCTGGAAATGCAACTCTTGGGGTCTTCGGAGGCTACAGAGCTGGAGGCGGAGGCGGCTGGGGAGGTCCGAGCGATGTGACCAGGCCGCCATCGCTCGTTTCTTTCTCTCTCCTGCCGCCTCCTGTCTCGAAAATAACTTTTTCTTACTCTAAAGAAAGGGGAAAAAAAGTAGCCAGTCCGCTCCTCATACCCTCTTTTCCTCGCAGCCTTCTGGTCTGTGAGGGAGCCCGGGGTGGCCGCTCCGCCGTCGGGGCCGCGCCGCCGAGCCCCGGCCGCCCCGGGCCGCCCCCGTCCGCCGCCCCCATGCATCCCTTCTACACTCGGGCTGCCACCATGATAGGCGAGATTGCCGCCGCCGTGTCCTTCATCTCCAAGTTCCTCCGCACCAAGGGGCTCACGAGCGAGCGACAGCTGCAGACCTTCAGCCAGAGCCTGCAGGAGCTGCTGGCAGGTGAGTGGGGAGAGGAGGTCGGACGGGGTGTTGCGGGGGTGGGGGACGCGGGCTGCTTGTCCCGGGTCGAGCCGTCGGGGCCGCGGGAGCCTCGGCCGCGCTCTGGTCCCGCCCGCCACGGGACCGCGCGCGGCGGCCGCTAACGGGCGCGTCCGGATCAAGGTTTTGCGGGGGTTGGGCGGAGGGCTTCCCCCCTCCTCCCAAATCCTGGGTTGGCAAGCGGAGGCGGGGGAAGGGGGGAGAAGGAAACGGACGCCCAACAAAGAAACTAGAGCCGGCCCGGACGGGAGCCGCGGTCCGGGGACCGCCGGCCGATTCGGAAACAAAGGAGACGCGGGGCTGGGGTGGTTAGCCGTCCCCTCCCCCAAATCCCCCAACCGTTGCGGGTCGGCGGCCGGGCCCCCCTCCCGGGGCTGTGGGACATCGCGTCGCTGCCCCGAAGCCAGCTCGGGACCGACGAGTCGCCTCTCCGCACCTCCTCCTGCCCCATTAATCACCGGATTTGTCACCGGTGCAATTAGAGCCCGGCCCAGAGCGTGGTTTAGGGTTTCTTGTTTTTCTTCCCTTCGGGGTTAACAGTCCGGTGGCGCGTCTCCCCTCCGAAGCCATAAAGTCCATTGTGTGCGCTGGGTGGGGTGGAGAAAGTAAACAGGTTCCCGCCCGCCTTCCCGGGGCTGCCCGGCTCCGCGCCCCGGTCCTGTGTCGGCGGCTCAACCGGTCGATGTCCCCGAGCAGCGGCGAGGTCCTCGATGCCATCCTGGACGTCTTTAAAAGTTGATGCTTTTCATTTTCGCTGCTCCTCGGAGTCCGCGGGAGGAGGGAACGACGTTGGAGCTAGCAGGGCCAATCTCAGCATTGTTTCTCTGTGCTTCTTTTCTTCTCTAGAACATTATAAACATCACTGGTTCCCAGAAAAGCCGTGCAAGGGATCAGGTTACCGTTGTATTCGCATCAACCATAAAATGGATCCTCTGATTGGACAGGCAGCCCAGCGGATTGGACTGAGCAGTCAGGAGCTGTTCAGACTTCTCCCAAGTGAACTCACTCTCTGGGTTGACCCCTATGAAGTGTCCTACAGAATCGGAGAGGATGGCTCCATCTGTGTGCTGTATGAAGCCTCACCAGCAGGAGGTAGCACTCAAAACAGCAGCAACGTGCAAATGGTAGACAGCAGAATCAGCTGTAAGGAGGAACTTCTCTTGGGCAGAACAAGCCCTTCCAAAAACTACAATATGATGACTGTATCGGGTTAAGATATGGTCTATGGATGGATCATCTTATAATGGATGGATAAAATTTGATTTTTGCTTTGGGTGGGCTCCTCTTGGGGATGGATTATGGAATTTAAACCATGTCACAGCTGTGAAGATCTGGCACAAGATAGAATGGTAAAAAAAATTTTTTTTTAAGTAACAGTGCCATAGTTTGGACAGTACCTTTCAATAATTGAATAGCCTGTGAGTCCAAGTAAATGATAACTTTATTTGCTAGGGAGTGAAGTCCTAGGGCGGTTTCAGTTTCTCCCAGACATGATATCTAAATTTTTACATCAGTCCCTTTAAGGAAAATCTGTATTTCAAAGAACTTTCTCTGCAGTAGATCTCGCAGAGGAATTTGCACTATTACACTTGAAATTGTTATCAATTTTTGGCAGCTCAGTAGAAAAGCTCAACGTTTTAAACATGGTAGTACTGGAAATTTTACCACAAGACTTTTACCTAGCACTTAAATATGTATAAATGTACATAAAGACAAACTAGTAAGCATGACCTGGGGAAATGGTCAGACCTTGTATTGTGTTTTTGGCTTTGAAAGTAGCAAGTGACCAGAATCTGCCTTGGTAACAGGCTTTTAAAAAGACCCTTTTAAAGACACTGTCTCAACTGTGGTGTTAGCACCAGCCAGCTCTCTGTACATTTGCTAGCTTGTAGTTTTCTAAGACTGAGTAAACTTCTTATTTTTAGAAAGTGGAGGTCTGGTTTGTAACTTTCCTTGTACTTAATTGGGTAAAAGTCTTTTCCACAAACCACCATCTATTTTGTGAACTTTGTTAGTCATCTTTTATTTGGTAAATTATGAACTGGTGTAAATTTGTACAGTTCATGTATATTGATTGTGGCAAAGTTGTACAGATTTCTATATTTTGGATGAGAAATTTTTCTTCTCTCTATAATAAATTGTTTCTTATCTTGGCATTTTAATCAATCTCTTGTCATGATTGTAGAAGTTTAGCTAAAATTTTTCCTAGAGACAGGTTCTTAGAAGCTACGTGAACATCAGTTGCACACTGGTCAGGCAGAAAAAAACGTTTGATGAGGAGTGGACGTGATCTGTGTGTACATAATTAGGCATTAAAGAAAACGAACATTTTTTTAAAATCTCTACAGTCAAAACATGGGCACATTCACAGGCTAATGAAGTGAGGATGAGACAAAGCTAACATCTTCTATACAAGTGATACTCAAAGGATTACATGTCATTGCTTCCCTGTTGAAGTGAAGATGTAAATATTCCACTCTGGCCCACCTTTGAGAAACAATTATTTTGCCCCATGGATTCCTTGTTCAATTAGAAAACCCAGGGCAGGTGACCCATAGTCTTAAAGAACAGGCTAATAACTGCAGAGAGATTGGTTGCTTTTTGCTTTTCATCACCTGCAAGATTTACTTAATTCCTTAAGCCGGAACTCATCAAAAGGTATGTTTATGAACTTTTATTCTCAAAAGGTGAAATACTGATTTTCGATTCCTCATTTTCAGACTGCAGTCACATAAATACTTTTTGAGCATTCGGTAGTGTAGGTTAGTTACTCCCCTATTCCACGTAACAAAGACTTGTTGGTAATTCTTTGGTTCTGGAGGATAACATGATATTTCAATGGAAAATGAAAGTGGAGAAAGTTGAATTTTGCTTTACAGCACAACAGGCTTTTTGGGATGTACACTTAAAACACATTCACATTGCAAATTATGCAATTAGTCAATTGCTTGAAGTCAGTAAACCCAAATAATTTAAGGTCTTTTTCTAAGATTTAAGTTTTTCTGAATTTTGTAGGCTAGATAGAAATAACACCACTAAACATTTTAGAACACAAGTGATGTTCATGTAATTTATTGGCAAGTCTTTCTCGGGGATTTTGCTTATTTTTTTGAGATAGGGTCTTGCTGTTTGTAGCCCAGGTTGGTCAGGAACTCTTTTGTCTCAGCCTCCAGGGGTTACAGGTACATGCCACCATACTCGACTGGGAGTTCAGATTAAAACCACAACACGTGGACTACTCTTGCAATTAGGGCTTTTATTTTTCAGCCCTTTCTATAAAAAGCCCCTCAATTTTTCAAACTTGGATTCGTGATACAACTGATAGTAATAGTTTTTGAAACTGTCCTCACTTCGGTGCTGATCCAAGTACATACCACTTGGTAACTACTTTGGAGCTACTTAACTGGTAAATATTTTGCATACTGGATTTTGGGACCTACAGCAAAGTGAGGGTGACTTCCAGACAGTTTAGGGCTACATTTGGGTACCTAAAAATTTTGTCATGAGACAAGTGGAGAATTGTTTCTGAAGATCTTGACATCAGACTCTTTGGTGCTTTCAAAAATTGGAGAAGAGAACTTAATGTATAATTTTGAATTCAGGTGATTTGTGGCACAGGAGGGGCTAGCAAATTCCTCTTTAAAAGCATACAAACATTACTGACCAGGCCAGCTGTTTCCTGTGACTTTAACCTTACGTTCCCCAGACAATTGAGCCTAATTCTGCAGTACAGTAGCCGTTGGATATTGTTCACTGCTTTTGGGGAATGTTTTGCCTGGCTACTTTGACAAAAAACTTGCGTGTCTGTCTTCTGTATGTACAAGCAGTTGTGACAGACTTCTGCATGTAGTCATACTAGTATCTAAAAATATATAATAGCAGTGTGATTTTAAAGGGTTTTGCACTGAGTTAAAAAAATAGTTTCTTGGAAATGTTAAGGATGCCTGCTTTCAAAAGTATTCCTGCTTTTGGCACCAGGAATTCAGTTATAGTTGGCAATAAGTTTGGGGAATGTTACTCAGTTTTAAACAGGTAATTTAAAATTCTTTTCTTCAAATGTAAATAGTGTCTTGGTTCTATAATGCTAAAACAAGGGTTGAAGTGGATTATATAGTAAAAGTTACCCGAGTCCGTGCAGGGTAATGTGGCTGTTAGCTCTGCTACCTGGAATGGAAATTAATGTTCTCCTCGTTATTTGCAACAGTTCTGGCCACCAGAAACTAGCTTTGTTACACTGGCACAGATGATTTCCTATATCACTGTAGAGTAATTTTGTTTTGTATAGATATTACACATATGGACCTGGCCTTCCAGTTATAAGGAAGGAAGCAGTAGCCCTGATGTTTAGTGTTAATGACGAGGTTTCCAGGTGCCTTTTAATTTTAGGAGCAAGTTTGTTGGATTCCCCCCCCCCGTTGGAAATATCCTTGGGACTTTTCCCTTCCTCTACGGAAGAGGCATTTTTGCATATTGGAGTTTAAAGATACTTCCTCTTCCTTTCCACTTTATTTCCTGATAAGTGTGAGTGGAATTTCCCAGTTTTCTCTGGTAAATAGGAGACTTCAGAAAGTATACCTCAGGTCACCTAAAACTGCATAGATTTTTTATCTGAAGGTGCACAAACTACAAATAGTGTGGACGCTGTGCTGTTGAACTTTTGTATATGGCTGCTATCTAAACTGGCTTGTTTTCATGTTTGTAACATAACTTGACAGTATTAACAAAGCTAGAAAAATAGTTTGGGCAAGTGATTAGACTGACTGTGTAACAACCCACCAATCATTTACTTCTAATATATGAGACTAAAGCCAGAGAAATCTGTGTAAGTTGTAATTCTGTTTCTATCAGTAGGATTTATATTTTCCTAGAACATAAGGTGGAGGAACATTTTTAAGGTGTTAAATTTTGTATTTTTGAGATGCTCCTAGATAAATAAGCCTTGGATCATATTAATAGGATTGACACCATTTCCTCAACAATTTGTGGAATAATAACGTACAACAAGTTTCTGGACTACATATTTTACTTGGTTTATCAATTTCCTTTTGCACTGCTCAGTGTGTCAAACAGGAATAAACAAATGATAAGGCTTCCATTCGTAGGATTGTCATTTATTTATTTATTTTATGCTTCCTGTCATACGATGGTTGAATAACATTTAGAGTTCAATTTCTGACTTATAGACCTTTTCATGATATTTATCATTTCAGTGTTGAAGATGCAGTGTTCTTCTGGGAGTTCTGCATGTTCACAGGGAATCCTGATGCAGAAGGATGATTGTGCCTCCTTGAGAGGGTTGGGTGAAAAGGAAAAGGTAGAGGAAATGAAAAGTGGGAAGCTTAGCTGAGAAGGGAGGGATTTAAAGGTTCAGTGCCATTTCATTTGCTCTGGTGATAGGTGTGTATCAACAGAGGTTTGTTCAAGTCTTGGCAGAGTTTGGGAATCACTGCTGATCCCAGAGTTTCTGCAATTCGTGAGTCTGAGGCAAAGTCTACACTCCGTTTGTTTCTGTGGCCAGTCAGGTCAAAGTGGTAATACAGGTTTATGGGCCTACCTGAAAACCAGCCTTGGGGGAGGGAGATACAGATGAGCAACAGAAATAACGTACTCTTCAAGGCATTTTAGAAGAAAATCCAGCAGTGCGTATGCCTTTGTCTCTCAGTATTTTGTTGAGTATTTTTTTAAAGTTGTTTGTCATAAACCACTTGACGATTATAGTCTCTGTCCTTACCACACCCAGAGATTGTGAAGGCCATTCATGACCTTCTTTTTGGTGGTAAAAGGATGATTAACTTAAGGCCCGACCTCTACCATCACAATAAGGAGGAAGAAATGGTTGAGTTAGCTGGATTTCTGTTTTTGAAGAATATGCTGTCAAACACTACATATCTCAAATTAACCATGGGCAAATTTGTTTTTGATGATTCCCAAGAATGTCATCTTGAAATTATTTTACATCTTTCTTTAAAATAATTTTGCAAGTGTTTTTATGTATGTCTGCAAAAACCACGTGGTGCATTTTATATAAGCAAACAGATTGGGGATACGTAAAATCTTATCGATGGAATGTATGATCAAAATGTTCTCTAGATTATTTCTCTAGATTATTACTCAAGTAGATGGGTATTTTCTCTCCCAACAGTAATTTATAATTATTATGTTTGTCTTTTAAGGGATGTCTTAAAAAGAGAAGCTGTTGTAGCCATACCCAGAGGATTGCCTTATGTAATTTCTAGCTTATCTGCATAAGTCGTTAAGTCATCTTTCACAACCAACAGATACCTCAAATTGTTACTGCCAATTCAAAGTCTTTTTGTTCCTGTATGTTCAACTATGTATTGCAATGGTGTTGAAATTCA